TTTTCCAAACACTTAATTGAATCTTTTGGACAGTCCTATGGATGCTGCCTCAAACGCACAGCCTGTGTATGTCCATGTCTCAACCTTCCAGCTGCCACCCTAGCCATGGTCATCTCTTACCTGAACCCCATGTCAACTGCCAAATGTGTTTCTGCTTTTCGGCTCTCCATCTCACACTCTATGCTCATTGGGGGCTGCTGTAACACAATACCTAAGTGACAGGAATTCGTTTCCTGCCATCTAAATCTTGCCTCAACTTAAAATTAACCTCCTTCCTTCTTTCCTTTCTTCCTGGACAAAATGTCTTCATTAGTTTCCCATTGCTCTTACACTAAAACCCGAATCCTTCACCAAGAGCATAACAAGCCCCCTCCTCTTACTTGGATATTAAATGCTCCTTACAGGCACTGGTGCTGGAACACTTGCTCTCCACTTGGTGACACTGTGTTGGGAGGTTGTAGAGCCTTTGGGAGGTGGAGCCTAGACGGAGGAAGTGGATCTTTGGGGGTGGGCCTTGGGGTTTGTAATCTGACCCCACTCCCTGTCTTATCTCTGTTTCTTGGTCTACAGAGGTGTGGACAAGCAACCTAACACGTCTGCCAGCACAGCTTCCAGATGTTTCTCCCTCCATGCCTCCCCCATGATGGACTATCCTCTCTCTCAACTGATGAGTTCAAATAAACGTTTTCTGTCTTAAATTACATCATCACGCAATGAGAAAAGTACATAATAGATTAATGATATCAAAGCTTCTGTGTCTTTCTACTTCTGACCACCTTAGGCCTAAAAAATTTTTTATGTGACCCTTGTTTGTAGGGATATAAATGAGATTGCCAACCAAACATTTACTGGTAATAAATCATAAAGAAAATTGTTTTAAGACAAATCTTTGTTATGCATAAACTTTTACCATTTTATTAAAAATAAGGGTAATTTTGCATATTAATGAGGTGGGTCATAAATCATCCTGGCTGACTATTTGATACAGAGCATTGCCAATATTTTTCAAAGGGGATTGATACTTTGATCTTATAATTGTCACTGCTGAGAATGGCACTTGCTACAAACATGTAGAGTAATGTGTTCAGGGCAGAAGTATGTTTAGGGCCATTTCAGAAACTATTGGAAAACCTATCTTAATCCCAAACCAAAATTTATTTAATGACTTTTATGAAAACCAAGTAGGCACCTCAAACAGCAATATTTGGAACTAGTCGTTCTAACATATCACAAATCAAAAGGCATCCTAGTTTGTTACTTACATGCTGAGTAATGACAGCAGTCAAATATTACAAGCCTGTTTTCTTAAACAATTGTTTATATAGTCAAAAGAGACTTTGCAAAAAACACTTCAATTCATGACATATAATAGTCCCAAATCTGAACAAAGATGCTTTAGAAATTTTTTCTTGGTGTTTGTTGCATGGTATGACATTTTTCAACCCTCAAACAAATTCTGAGCCCATTCCTAAGAATGTTTGTCTTTGTGTCTACAATATGCTTTACCCAGATCAACTCAATCAAAACAGATGCTATCCAGTCATTACCAGCCTTCCAGTTTATTTTGCCTGCCATAATCTATTTACTGGCCAACTCCCTCCTTGTAGGAGTTTGAATGAAAATGGCCCCTATAGGCTCACAGGAAGTGGCACCATTAGGAGGTGTGGCCTTGTTAGAGGAAGTGTGTCACCAGGGGTGGGCTTTGAGATATCAGATGCTCAAGCCAGGCCCGGTGTCTCACTCTCTTCCTGCTGCCTGCAGTTCCAAATGTAGAACTCTCTGCTCTTCCTCCAAACCATGTCTGCCTGCATGCTGCCATGCTTCCTGCCATGATGACAATGACAATGAACTAAACCTTGGAACTGTAAGCCAGCCCCAGTTAAACGTTCTCCTTTAGAAGAGTTTGCTGTGGTCATGTTTCTTCACAGCAATAAAATCCCTAACTAAGACACTCCCTATAAAAATTATTTGTCTCAGGGCTTGGAAAGTGGCTTAGTGGTTAAGAATACTTGTTGTTTTTCCAGAGGACCCAAGATTGGTTACCAGTACCCATGACAGGTGGCTCACAACCATTTAAAGTCCAGCTTCAGGGCATCTGATGCCTCTGTCCTCTATGGACACCTCTACTGTCATGCACAGACCCACATATGGGCACACATACTTACACATACTTTTAAGAAGAATATTTATTCCCTGAGAGATCTTGTCTGTCTCGGTGTTGTAATCACAGGACCAAGGAAACAGGAGGTGCTGAGTCAGGGTTCCCCAGAGAAACAGAACTAATGGCTGTATGTATATAGTAAGATATTTATTATAGAGATTTGCCTCATATGCACATGAGGGCTGGCAAGTCCAAGTTCTACAGAGTGAGCTAGCAGGTGGAGGTCTGGAGAGCCAATGGTGTCCATCAAGTTTGAAGGCAGTCTCCCCAACAACTCCCTCTTGTTGGGGGCAGCTCTTTTTGTTCTATTCCTACCTTCAAACAATTGGCTGAAACTCACACACAATATAGAGGGCAATCTGCTTATCAAGGTTAGGGGCAGGGGCAGGATATGGTAATCTCACCCCAAACACCCTCTAAGTTGGCACGTCAAAATCACCCTTCACAGGAGGTATTCTAAAATGGCCATTAACTGAATACGTACTGTGATCTTCAGATGCCCCATGAAAAAGAACCCTTCACAGGTATCCTGCCAAGAAAGTTAGCGGATTCCTCTTAATAGCATACAGCTAGAAAATAGCAGAGATGACGTCACACCTCCGTCTCACCATCAAGTCCAGCCCTTGTTTTAATAGCCTGCAGGAGCCTTCGTACACAGGTTGTTTCATTTGCTGTGCCAGACAGACACCAGAGAGTGGAGAGGCTTTTACCACTTTTCTCTGGAAATTCTTCCTGATGCCTATAAAAAATTTCCTCCAAGGACAGTAGGCAAGAAGTTTAAAGTCAGAAGGAGCCGTCACAGGCTTTTTCTTAGGATTCTATTTCGTGTGTGTGTGTGTGTTTCGAACAACAACAGAGAGAGAGAGAGAGAGAGAGAGAGAGAGAGAGAGAGAGAGAGAGAGAGAGAGACCCACAGTCTCACTGTAGCCTACTTTTTACTAAAGCAGCTGCTATATCACACACCTACTGTCTTTCAGCCAACTCTGAAGAGCAGACAATATCAATTCCGCTTTGTAGTTGAGAAAATGGAGGTTCAGAGGGAAATTTGCCATGCTTGTCATTTTAAAACAGTACATTGATTTCAAAAGAGGTTTGAGTCCAAAATTATAGTCTTCCCTTTGTCCTATAGTCTCTTACCAGAAGTCAAGTCCACGGTGGGCTTGGTATTTATCCGTTGCAGCTGACCCTTTCTCTCCTGTGCTCTGCCAAGCTGGAGCAGTATGCATAGTGAGTAGCTCACCTGTCCTTCGGTGAGAAGCCCTAAACCCATCTGGGCTGTCTAAGCAAGGCATGCCATCTGTTGTTGTTTTATAAATTCATTTTTTTTCTTTGTTTTCCCAAATGGATCGTTGAGCAAGGCAGGAATTGAAGTTCTTATTTTTTTTTAATCTCCTCTTACCATACCCAATACAGAGGATGCCCCCTGCCTCCCATGCTGCAGATCTCAGTAAGTCTACTCTGAAAGACTGACACAAGAATGAGAAGTTATGGGAAATTTCAAGGAGTCAGTTTGCTCATCGAGTATAAGATTTGATGAAGACAAACGTGGTGACTCCAGATGGTGCCCCGTAAGTGGGGCAGGAGGGCTGTCCCTAGATAGCAAGAAGTATAGGGATGCAGGGGATTGGGGCAAAACCCCTACACCTAGGTCTTACATCTCTGGAGAAGACAGGGATTGGTTAATTCTGGACTGGCTGGATGCAGTATAAAAAAAATTGCTAAAGGAGAGTCAAAAAATCTTAGGCTACAACATTTGTAAGTCATTAGACACCCTTGAGTTGGTTCTTAAATTTGGAACATTACAGGATTTAACTAGATTATTGTAAAGTCATTATTCTAGCTCAAAAATATTGTCATTCCACAGACAAAAGGCCAAGTTTCTTAACAGATAAAGACCTCCCACAAATAAACTAAAAATAGCCAGGAACCCAACAGAAAGAGTGAGCAATATGAACAGATAGTTCACAGGAAAATAAATCATTTTCTTAAAAAAAAAAAAAGCAATGCAAACTAAAACTATAAAGCAAGTTGATGTTTTCAACCATCAGAATGGAAATGTCAACATTTCCCATAATCCAACATGTAGGTGAGAGTCTAGAAACTATGACACCCAGAAGGCACTGGAGATGTACAATGGATGTCTTCTAAGGAGAGCAATTTGGTGATTATTATTAAAAGTAAAATGTCAAGGTTGGAGGGATGACTCAACAGTTAAGAGCACTTGGTGCTCTTGCAGAGGACTAGAGTTTGATTTCCAGCTCCCACAGTTCACAGCCTCCTATAGTAACTCCAGCTCTAAGGGATCCAACATCCTTGTTTGGCCTCCAAAGGTACCATGCCTACACACACATACATACACACACAAATAAAATAAATCTTAAAAATTGAATCTTGATCGGCCCTTTGAAGCAGCCATCCACACCTAGGTTTTGATCCTATAGCTGAACTCACTCACACACATGAGAAAGTGACCTTTATAAAATGGCATTTACTATAGCTGGGTTTATACTGTCAACACAAAAGATCTAAATATCCCATGATTAATTGCTATTTAGTTCAACTGTGATATATCATATTTCCATGCAATGCAATGACAGTAATCTTTGAAAAGGAAGTCATCTCTCTGTGTTCTAACATGGACAGATGTTTCAAATATATTGTTCAATGAAAAAAAAAACAAGGGCAAGATAGTACCTAAAGTTAATATCAGGATTATTAAATAAAAAGTACACATGTGCTATTTAATATGTAAGTTGTTTTTTACTTAGAAATTAATTATAGCTTTAAATTTTTTATGAAAGTGAAAATAGTTTAGGGACAGCTATATCTTCTTCTCTAGTATGGACACTTGCTCCCCTTTGCCTTGTCATTTGAGTACATACAATTTCTATGTCTGGGGAAGCCATCATAAGAAACATGCAGCAGGACCTGGGCATGGTGGGCCATGCCTGTAATCCCAGCACTCAGGAGGCTGAAGCAGGAGGATCTCAAATTGGAGGCCATCCTGAGCTACAGAGTGAGATACTTGTCTAAGGAATACTGAAGCAATGGTTGCCTCTAGAGAGGAAACTGAGTGGAGGCAGGAGAGAAAGACTTTTTAATTCTATACTTTATCAAACCATTTGAATTTTGTGTCATTAACAAAAAAATTAAAAAAAAATATGAACACCCGTGACAAAATTCTGTGGTCTGTACCTTTAAAGAAAAGATCACCATTCCAGTGAAGACGGAAGAGGTAAAGGAGAAAAATTAAGTCAAAAGACAATGACCAAAGGGGATGGGAGCTAGCTTCTCTGGAATAGATGTATTCCAGCTGAAAAACAAAGAACAATAAAATCAGGTTTCAGCATTTTCAGCTGCTAATATTGGAGTCAGTGTATGCATTGATAGATGTAGGAAAATAAATTATCAATGATAGCTTTTAATACTCAGTATGATATTTACGTTTACACACTCCGAGTGGAAATATAAAAAACTGCCTGTGAAGGACTCATGTCAAATAACTGATCCTAATGGGCCAGCTTCTAGACGTCGCCATCAACTAAAGGCTACAGAGGAGTCAGGGGAACAGGTTAGACAACTGATGACTTCCGTTCACTGTCAACTCGACAGGGCAAGAGTCACCCAGGAGGCCACCTCCAGGCGCACCTATGAGGGGTTGTTTAGATGAAGTTAGCCCTGGGTGTGCCTGGAAGGGATAGATCACTTTGATTAGGTTAACTAGGGTGGGAAGACCCACCCTAAGGAAGGGTGACCCTGCTCACTAGACTTCAGTCCTGGAGGGCATGAAGAGGAGAATGCCGAACACCAGCATCCCTCACTCTCTGCTCCATGGCTGTGATGCTGGGTGACCAGCCACCTCAAGATCTTGTCTCCCTTGACTTCCCTGTCCTGATGTACTACTGTCTGAATCCCCTCTCTCTTAAGTCACTTTTGTCAAAGTTTTGATCACAGTAACAGGAAAAGTAATTAAGACGACGACCTTACCTGTGTTTAGGCAATTGTCATAAATGCAGAAGAATATTTAAATTCAAGATGGTAAAATGTAGCACACAATTTTATGCCAGTAACTTAACACCTCAATAAAATTAGGCAATCTGTTCAAAAGTGTCCAAGGAATTAAAAGAAATACCCATTCTTGAAAAGGGCTTTGGACTGGGTAGGTGCCAGTGCTGGGCCATCTGCCCCCATGAAACTCCACTTCTTATCTAGAGAGGCTGACTCCAGCAGAATGGCTGCCTAGGTTCCGGTATCAGCTGCTTTCGGGCAGATTTCAGGAGTGAGAGGAACTGGTGGGAAGCCAGAGATGGCGGAGGAGAGGAACCAGTTGCTGGTTCTGGTAGTTGCTAATGTTGCTCATCTGTGTTCTGTAGTGTCAATTTCTTCTAGCCACACTACTGTGGCTCCAGCTTCTACCCCAATGACTTCATGGTTTTGCTGCTTTGCTCTTGCTCTCGCTCTCGCTCTCACTCTCGCTCTGTATGTGTGTGTGTGTGTGTGTGTGTGTGTGTGTGTGTGTGTGTGTGTGTTGAGGGAAGTATGCATCTCATGTGTGTACATGTGCTCATTCATGTGTGTGAAAACCAGAAGTCAGTATCATGTGTCCTCTATCACTTGCCACTTTTTTCTTTGCGACAGGGTTGCCACACAGTTGCCCTTCCCTTTTCACATAAGCGCTGGGGATCCGAACTCAGGTCCTCAAGCTTGTACAGTCAGTACTTAACCCACTGAGTCTTCTCTCCAGCCTCCCACCCACAGCTTCAACCTTGGATCTCCAACAGCACCACTTCCTCCCTTCCTCCTCTCCAGATTAGGGGTGTGGCGTCTGTATGGAGCTATTTGGTTTGGTTTGGTTTGGTTTTCTGCTCCTTCCATTTCCTGCTCCAATTTCTCTTGTAAAACACTCAAAACTTTCTGTTTTCTTTGTTGGGCACTGATACAGGTGGCTTTACAGACCGTTTCAAACTGGAAAACATGTAACTTCCAAGCTGCGCGTATATGTATTTCAGAGTGTAGTAAATGACATAAAACCTGTAGATAAACAGGGCAAGAGATAACTATAGAAAAGTCGTAAGAGAAGATTTGCAGTAGAGACATGGCTTGTGACAAAGATACTATTGTAAGTCAATGCACAGAAGCCTGGTCTTTTCCATACATGGTTTGGGGACAATTACAGTCCACTAAAGTGTTAAAAGATTTAAATATAAAATTTACTTCACTTTGAATAAAAAAGGCTGATAGCTTCGACATGAACACTATATGCAAAGCTTCTAGAAAACAATATAATATTTTCAGGATTTTTTTTGTAGATTAAAAGATCCCAAAGAAGCAATTAAAATCACCAAATAAGAGGAAAGCTTAACACATTTGACTTCTTTAAAATTAAGAACTATTTAATAAAAGACAGTGGCTGAGAAGACAAGGCATGCCATTGGGGGGCCTCTCAAAGGCCTGTATTTCGGATGAGAAAGGACAACGTTCAGAATCTAAGTAATACATCTAAAGACTCTATTAAGAAAGGGAAAACACTTCATGCAAAAGCACTTCACAAGAAGATGCCATTCATATGACCAGCAGGCACATGAAGAGGGCATCAAAGTCATAAGACATTAGGACAACACAGAGTTGTACTGTGACACCTTTGTGGGCACACCAGTGTCACCAACAAATGGACTGAGATGGTCACACTTAGGGTCACCATCGCTGTGATGAAACACCATGGCCAAAGGCAGCTTGGGAGGACAAGGTTTATCTGGTTTACATATAGTAGTTCATTGAGGGAACTCAAACAGGGCAGGAACCCGGAGGCAGGAGCTGATTCAGAGGCCATGGAAGAATGCTGTTTACTGGCATATTCTTCATGGCTTGCTCAGCCTGGTTTCTTATAGAACCCAGGACCTCCAGCCCATGGGTGCCACACCCACAGCCAATGGGCCCCCCCACATCAATCACTAATTAAGAAAATGCCCTTTCCTTAATTTAAAGAAAACAGGCTTGCTTCTGGAGGCATTTTCTCAATTGAGGCTCCCTCCTCTCAGATGACTCTAGCTTGTGTCAAGTTGATGTAAGACTAGCCAAATATCGGTAGAGTTGTACAAGTAACTACAATTCCTATATATGGCCGGGAATGTAAAGTATTCAGAATGTGTCATATTCCTAAAGCTTTAAACTATAATCTATATGTACCAACTCACACATTTTTAAGGTCTACAACTTCAAAAGTTTGACACTGAAACCATTACTCTCTCAAGAAAATAAACCTGTCTACTCCCAGAAGTATCTTCATGCTGTTCAGAGCCCATCCCTTCCTATCTGTCCCCCATGACCCCATTCCCAGGACAACCACTAATCTACTTTCTGTCTCTGTACATTAGTCCTCATGTTCTAGAACTACTGTACATAGAATACTGTGAGTTTTCCTGTGTCTAGCTTCTTCTACTCAGTCATTTTGAGATTCAGCCATGCCAATTGTGTCAGCAGTTCTTCACCAAGTGTTCTATTGTGTGGCTGCATTTATGGTTTTTGGAGACAGGGGTTCCCTGTGAAACAGCCTTGGCTGTCCTGGATCTCTCTGTGTAGACCAGGCTGGCCTCGAACTCACAGAGATCCACCTGCCTCTGCTTCCCGAGTGCTGGGATCAAAGGTGTGTGCCACCATGCCCGGTTGTGTGGCTGCATTTACCTCTTGACCAACTTTTGGGTTGTTCCCAGTGCTTTGCTGTTATAAATAAAGCCACTTCGAGTATTGGTGTGATCTTTGTGTGGCCATGCATTTCTCTTGGATAGCTAACAGAATGGGATGGCTGAGTCACAGGCAAAGTAAGAGTAACAGCTACAGACATGTGGGACAACATTTAATAAAGCTAAACATATTTATTCTCCAAGACCGAGCAACTCATCCCTGGGCATGTTACCGAGAGAAGTGAATAATTCACCCTCACGAAGATGTGCATTATAGTCATAGTAGTTTCCCTTATAAGAGATCAAAATTGGACACATGTCAAATGGCCATCAGTGGCAGCCAAGAATCCCCCAATTGTGGAATTCCCCAAGTTGCCTCAGGCAACAAGGGAGACTTTGTTATTCAGGAAATCTATTATAATCACCCCAGTATATATTCTCATTTCTTTCCTTTCGATATCTTAGTCATTCGCAGCCCTCCACTCAAAACTCAGGTTTCTGTGTTCTCTCTGCCAACAGCTGAATGTGACTGCAGAAAAATATGTGACCTTTGCCTAGCCTCTCTGTGATTTTCAATCAGGGATGCTTCAGTTCCCTTGAGGTATTTGGAAATGGGGCAAGGGCAGCTTATCATCACAGTGATTGATGAGCAGCACCAAGGGCCAAAGTACTAAATGCCAACCGACATTCCTGCCCCGCACAGCAGCAGCATCCCCACAGAATAGCATTAGACCACAAAGCTCAAGTCGCCGGTGTCTGTGACCACAGGGATCCCCCCAATTCCCCTTCCCATTCTCCCAGGAAACTTCTCTTCTAGCTCTGAACTGCCAGTGCTGCTCCCTTCAATTTCAAAATTTCAAAATCCTGTGCTCTTGATATCTGCCAATCGACCTCCATCCGTACCCACATCCTCAGTATCCATTACAGTCCTGAGGGTAAGCTGCTCAGGCCATTTCCCAAGTCTGTGCCTGGATTCTCCTCAATAACTTACTCCCAACCATCACCCCACCCTGTTTCTCCCTCATTCCAACCCCACTCTACTACTCTAGTGAGGACCTATGCATCCCGTGCTATTTTGCAGCCTAAATATTCTCTCTACCAATTTCACATTTCCACCTACATTTGAGAATGAGATAATTAGCAGGGAGTCACCTGACCTGGCTTTCAGACCTTAGTGTCTGCCTTCTTTCCACCTCAGTTTGATACCTGAAGCCCTTGGTCATCGTGTGACCTAGAGCATGTCATTTCACAATGCACAGATCTGACAGGTCACAGAGCCATGGCGGGATGTACAGGAAAGATGTCAAGTGAAGAAAGGGACTTAAGACATTAGGGAACCTAAGGGAGGAAGACAATGAAGGCTAGGGGAAAGGGCCTGCACCTGAGATCAGATTCTGTCGGGGGAGCTCATGGGGAGCAGAGAGGCTGGAGCATGTTTATAGAGGATAATCCTTAAAGGACATAGAAGAGGCAGAGAAGCCCTTGGTGCCGTCCATCCTGGTTTGTTTGGAGGAGAGGGGAAAAAAAGGTAGGGAGGAGGCAAGGCTGCAGAGGTAGCTGGAGTCACATGACTGCAACCCTGCTGCTTGTGGAAAGCAGCAGCCGGCAAAGCCAAGCTGATAGAAACAAGTAGCTTGAGTCCTAGTCTTACTTTCGACAACAACAACAACAACAAAAATTGCATAGCAGAGCGTTTCTTGTCTCTTGTGGAGGGAGTGGGCAGAAATCAAGTCATTTTTCTTATTTATGTGGTCAAAATGCATCTGGCAATCAAACGAACAAATAAGTAAACCCAGAGGGTGACTGTATAAAACACTTTCCCCCACTATAATCACACACTGAACTATTTTTTAAATGTTTTAAATATATTTTTAAAAATCAGCACACACTAAGTTCTTATCAAGAACATTCTTTTCTTCTCTAAGCTAGTGCAGGAGAATGCCTATTTCTTGTTTCATCCCAGGCCATGCAGTGATTTGGACGACAGCCACAAGTGTCGTCATAGGGAGGAAAACTGACCACAGGACAGCACACAACACTCAGTTATATGACCCGGCATACATTCCCATACAATTGCTTCCACATTCCCACTTGCTTTGTGTAAGCTGACCACTGCAAGGCCCCACAACCAATGGGTATTTTTAGCATGATTTGAATCTAGACTCTGATACTTAGGTCACCCTGGTCCTTCTCTCTGGTCTCATATATTCTCACTTGTACATAAGTCAAAGTTCCAATCCCACAGGGTTGTTGAGATGCAACTGTTTATATATTCAAAGTGTTGTGTAGCACACAGTAACAGATTACAAATGCTGTGTTAGTGTCTACGTCACCTCACTGTTTCTTCCTGCTTCCCAATGATGTGACATGCAAAAAGGCCAGGACATGGGTACAGAAATGCAAAGGGATAACCAGCAGGGTTAAGGATGACCAGAAATACAACCTTCTGCTGTCACATCTCCCAGATTCATGGCTGTCCTTTGCTTCTCATGCCACCCCTAGAACGAAGTTCTGTTGGCATCTTGTCTTTGAAGGGTCACAGGCATCTTCTGGCGCAGCATGCCATTTAGGAGATCTCCTCCCCCTGCCCACAGGGTAGTTCTTTCCTTTCTGTCCTCTTCAATTTTTTGTTAGCTCCCTCATCCCACTTATTTTGTGTGTGTGGGTGCTTTGCCTGCATGTGTGCCTGTGTACATGTGTGCCCGTGTACATGTGTGCCCGTGTACATGTGTGCCCATGTATATGTGTGCCCGTGTACATGTGTGCCTGTGTACATGTGCACCTGTGTACATGTGTGCCTGTGTACATGTGTGCCTGGTGCCCTCAGAGGCCATCAACTCCTCTGGCACTAGACTGACAGATGGTTGTAGGCATCATGTGGGTGCTGGGGATTGAACCCAGGTCCCCTGGAAATTCATCCAGTGCTCCCAGCCTCTGAGCCATCTCTCCAGCCCCTCTTCTTCTTTCTTGTGTCATTGCTTCATCAGCATCTGCTTTTCTTTTCTTGCCTTTAGACTGCATTATTCAAATGTACACATATGTACACATACATGGATTTACAGAAACATGTACATATGAGACAGGACAAATGTGTCAGGAAACATCACTTGGTCAGAACATCACCTTCTACTGTGAGAGATTGAGTGCAGGGCCCTTTGGTTTACTCAGGAGAAGGTGTTGGGGAACAATGTAGTTAGTTGGCCTCATATTTTTGTCAACATTTCCTACGGAAAACACAAAGAACATTCATTTCTAATCCCTATGTGCCTTCCTCACATCTGAAGCTAAGGGGGTTAAAGATTGAACCCAGGAATAGGCATAGGAAAGCTTTTAGCCATGCTGAAAACTCAAGTTCAACACACTCTCAAATCTGATTTTTTTTTGGGGGGGTATGGAGAGGTTGAGACAGGGCCTGATTCTGGAGTCCTAGGCTACCGAGGAACTCACTCTGTAGACCAGGCTGGCCTCTAACTTGAGGCCATTCTTCTGCTTCTGCCCTTCAAGTCCTGGGATTACAGGCATCTACCACCACTCAGCTCTAAATCTGAATTCTTTGTGGAAAATCTTTGCAAAGTCACACCTGACTAGACACATGGCTAAACAAGGACATCCTCTGTGGAGGGATTACCATGTAATCTCCCTGGAATGGTCTCCATTTCAAATAAAGTCCTCTTCTCAAATGTTCACTGCTCACTATCACACTGCGTATGTACGAATTTAATTGAGAAGTGTAACACCTCTGTCCACAGAGCATCCAGAACATTACGCACTGAACAAAGGCCAGGCCTAACAATTCTAGGCTGGAATGTGTTTGCTTCAACACTTCGCAGTAAAATGAGATTCATTAAGGAGAAAGGAGAGACACTCCTGGCTCTCATCACTGAACACAATGTCCTAGACTAGGACTCATCTCATAACGTATCTGCTTGAGGAATCTTGATTCACCATCTCTGCTTTCTTCCATCTCCCACTACCACGGCTAGCTGCCAATCCTGTTAACACTGTAACAGGATGTGAATATCGACCAAGACGCTCAGGACTCCATGAACCACGTTTGTAGCACTGTGTTCTTCTTAGGAATTCGCCTTGGCAACATCCTTGCGTTCTACTAGACTTGGGCTGACAGAGGCCATTCTGAAATGATATAATTCTGGTAAGTGCTTAAAATATCTACAGTTAAGGAGGTTGTCTGGATTTAAAAAGGATATGAAAATATTTTACTAGTGGAAGATGCTGCTTTACAATTTATAGTCTTTATAGGCTGGGTTAGGCATGTTCTCATCAAATAATGCTCTGGCAGCGACAATTTATCCACCCTTTATATTTGCTTTAAAGCAATTCATTCAGCACTAAACTCCGTACCGAGTGCCAGTTCTGTGGTCAGCACCAAGGTTACCATGATGTTCAAAGAGATGCCCCAGACTTTAGTTAGCTTCCTGAGTGTACAGCTGACATCACAGGTTGGCTTCCATCAAAACCACATGGAAATTTCTTCAAACTACTCTTTATACTGCAGCGATGTAAACAAAGTATTTCCTGGCATAACCCAGAGGCCTATTTGCAGATTCAGAGAACATGGGTAAATATAAGGATTATCTAGGAAGAAAACCAATAAGGAAATGGCTATAGAAAAAAAAAAGTGGTACTAACCCTTTTGTATTTTGAAGACAGAACTGTGAACAACTGCCCACACTGACAAATTAGGTGGTGTGTTATGAGGTAACCAGTCTCCAGCAGATCAGAGGGTCCCACACTAACCTGGATAATACAAGCAGATGGCTGCTACAGACGAGTATGATGAAAAGCAGAGGATCTAAATAAAACCCAGACTCACCAATGAAAGAGATATTCTTGATAGAGGGATACATTATGGGGTTAGGGAGAAACCTGGCGCTAGGGAAATTCCCAGGAACCCACAAGGATGACCCCAGCTAAGACTCTTAACAGTAGTGGAGAGGGTGCCTGAACTGGCCTTCTCCAGTAATCAGATGGATGACTACCCTAACTGTCATCATAGAACCTACATCTAGTAACTGATGGAAGCAGATGCAGAGATCCACAGTTAAGCACTGGGTGGAGCTCCCGGAGTCCAGTCAAAGAGAGGGAGGAGGGATTATATGAGCAAAGGGTTCAAGATCATGACAGAGAAACCCACAGAGACAGCTGACCCGAGCTCAGGTCAGGAGTGGGGGGACCTCACAGACTCTAGACCAACAGCTGGGGAGCCTACCCGGCATCGAACCTGGCCCTTTACATGTGGGCGATAGTTGTGTGGCTTGGTCTGTTTGTGGGGCCCCGGGCAGTGGGACCAGGATTTATCCCTGGTGCATTAGCTGGCTTTTTGGAGCCCATTCCCTATGGTGGGATACCTTGCTCAGCCTTGAAGCAGCTGGGAGGGGCTTGCTCCTACCTCCATTTGATGTATTAGGTTTCTTTGACTCCCTGTGGGAGGCCTTAACCTTTCTGGGGAGTAGATGAGACTTAGGGTGTGGGGGGGAGTAGGAGGAGGGAGGGAGGGGGAACTGTGGTTGGTATGTAAAATGAATTAAAAAAAAAAAAAACAACCAGGCTCATAGAATTCATGGGTTAGCCTCTTGATGTGTCATTCTGCTAGAAGAAGATTGGTTGGGCAGGGACTGAATAGCCACAAACACAAGTGGGTGGTTGATGGCTCCCCTTCTGAGGATGATCAGGTGGGCCTCTAATAAGTTCCAAAGGGTAAAGATCAGTGTTAAGATTGCTGAGGATAGTATGGGAAATTCTAGACAAGGATGACTCTTAGGTCACTGGAAAGGCAGTAAGTGCACAAGAGAGTTGAGGTGCACATTTAGATCTTTAAAAATATTTATGTGTATGGGTGTTTTGCTACATGTACATCTGTACATTACATCCATGCCTCTGTTGGGTGCCCATAGAGGACAGAAAGGATGTCAGGTGCCCATGGAACTGGAGTTATAGACAGTTGTGGGTGCTGGGAATTAAACCTGGGTGTTCTAGAAGGCCAACAAGTGCTCTTATCTGCCGGGCCATCTCTCTCGCCTGGAGATATGCATCGTTGATTCACTAACATTGACTTTAATGGTATCTTAACAATGGCTGAGCAAATTCAGACTAGCAGTCTTACCACCTAGGTTCTATGGTTTATTTATTCTAGGTTTATTTATTCTGACAGCCTTCCAAACCTTATTGATTTAAAGTCTATGATGACTAGTCTGTGGTCACTGAAGAAGTTCTGGACTTGAAACTCAATACTGGCTTATAACACCCTGCTTGGAAAAAGGTTAAGAATGAAGGCCAATGTCGTAAAGCAAGGCCACTCACTGAAGGAGAGATCATTTGGGCCTATTGAAACACTGAAGACTGGAAAATCTATCCACAAAACAATATAACTTAGTCTTGGGTCTCTGATCTCGTGACACCATCAAGTGGTCCTGCAACTCACTTCACTGTTCTTGGTACAATATGCACAATTGTACTTCATTTGTTCTTCTAGTGAATTATTTGAGGGCCTGTAGTATGCCGAAGACTATTCAAGGAGACACCGAGGTTAATGAAGAACTTTATGTCCCAGTCTTTGAGATACAAGAGCTGGGAAAGTGGTGCAATGCTGACCAATCAGCAGACATTGGCCATTGTTTGGAAAGATGTGTTTGAATTCTGTAGGTACTCTGGTTAATTACTTTTCTATTGCTGTGATAACACAATGACCAAGGCAACTTATACAAGAAAGCATTCAATTGGGCTGTGGTTCCAGAAGGGTGGAGTCCATGATGGTGTTGCGAAGGCTGGGTCGCAGGAAAACCTGAGCTCACATCTTGATCCACAAGTAGGAGGGAGAGAGTATACTGGTGATGGTGGGAGTCTCTTGAAACCTTAAGCTTGCCAACCCCCCCCCCAACACCTCCAACAAGGCCACACCTAGTCCTACCCACAAAGTTCTACTAACTGGGGACCAAGTATCCAAACATACTAGCCTTTGTGGCGGGGGGGGGGAGCATTCTCATTTAAACCACCCAAGTGTTGCATGGTAGAAAGATGCATGGAGTCTGGAACAGGGTCAGGGAGCAAAGGGCACTGAGGGCTGTGGGAGCAGTCCTCAATCCATATCATGGCATTTCAGTATTTTCAACATCCAGGGAGGATGAATGAGGTGGTAGTGGATCATGGAGAAACATTAGATGGCGTACGACTGAAGTGTGAATACAGTGACCCGTGTCAGGGACAGTGAAAGAAAATACCGAGGTTTCAGAATAGAACCTTTTTAGGGGGCTGCAATGAGAGAAGACGTAGATGGTGAGGACAATTCCTTCACAATTTCTAAGTAACAGATTTTGTTTTTACAAAATTCTGTGAACACAGAGCACTCATAATCCTGAATACTTGGAATGAACAATGGATCTCAAGGTCCTGAGGTAAATGATGAAGACATGAAGACAACAGATGCTTAATCGGAGAACATGATGGTAGCACCTGAGCTTAGTGACGCCTGCATATTAATGACCGACCTGTCTCTGACTTAGCAGGAGCAGTGGCAGCAGGTCTCTTCAGAGCAGCGGGTTGGATTTACACTCGCCTGGCCTTCCAGCAATGAAGAGTACATGTTTCCTCACAGCTGTATTTCTAAAGACAAACAACTGCTTGTTGGCTATAATCAAATTGGCTTGTGGCTATTCGCTTCTCATTGTGAAGCACTTTGTGTCCAATAAAAATCATCTTTTATGTAATAATTTTTTTGAGAAGTGACTTGCAAGGGAAACTTTCTTTAAAAAAGAGCATGTTCAGGAGCTATAAGCAAACTGTAGGGAAAAGTCATTCCTAGTTAAATGCCTTTAGTATCATGATTAGCCAGAAGGCTCTGCAAATCCTGTCTCTGCGCATAGAATGAGGGTTCTAAGGGATGTTGCTCAGAGGCTGAACAAGTACCTTTTCCCAAAGGTCTGCTGAGCCCATAACTCGAGCTTTCTCCATGTGAGACTTACTAGAGAGTTGCTCTGTGACCTTAAACTCTCTTACAGTGGTCCCTGCTCTAAGATCAACAGCCAGTGTTGTGAGGAGGAAAATGCAGTCAACAAGTACTTACTGAGTATCCACTGTGCACTAGCACTTGTTTGGGCCCCTGGCATACAGCACAGAATGAGCTCTGTGAAGTTCCTGCCCTAACGGGCCTGGTACTCTCTGAGAGGTGGGGAGGTGTGGTGATAATTTGTTTGTACTCTTACCACATAAAGATGGCCTGAAGATCAGAGAACAGAGCGAGCCACTAGATAAAATGTAGAGAGGTCAGGCAGTGGTGGCACACACCTTTAATCCCAGCACTCGGTAGGCAGAGGCAGAGATCCCTCTAGATTTCTGTGAGTTCGAGGCCACACTGGGTTACATGAGTTTAATCCAGTCTAAAAGAGAAACAGAGCCAGGCAGTGGTGACACGCACCTTTAATTACAGCACTTGGGATCTCATGCCTTTAATCCCAGCACTAGGATGGTTGAGACAGGAAGAGGTATGGCTGGGCAGAGAAATGAATATAAGAAGGGAGAAGACAGAAATCGTGCTCTTTCTGGCTGAGGAGTTGGTGAGGTAAGAGGCAGTGGCTGTGGCTTGCTCTGCTTCTCTGATCTTTCAGCTTTCATCCTGACATCTGGCTCCAGGTTTTATTAAGATCAATTAGGATTCATGCAACAGAGAGGGTCTGTGGGATTTAGAGTCAAACATCCCTGGGTTTATATATTGATATCACAAGCTTAGGAACACCCTACTCCCATTTTTGTCTTTTAAGCCTCCGTTCTTTATTTATAAAGTAGAACTAACAAGAGATGCAGGACTAAATGATTCAAATATCTAGCACAGGGTAGGAATGCAATTATTTGATTACAGATATCTTTTCAGCTGGTTCTCAAGGGACTGACTCTTATTAAGCTTCCCTCACCAGAAAGAGATATGAGAAGTATTACCCCCCCCCACACACACACATACACCTTTATAAGCTCAAGGGACTGCCAGAGCTGGGCCAGGCACGGTAAACACAGCTCCCCATTGAGCTGGTTGAGGGGTTGGCCAGCTCTTGATTTCCTCCTTTCACTGGGCTTTTCCTCCATTGCAGGCCTGCAGGATTCTGGCTTTAAAGGCCCACTGGATTATTTTAAACAGTAAACTAGGCACATTGCTTTTTTTGTAAGAGCCCTAAGATAAAAGTGTCTTTTAAGATTATGAAATGATTGAAAACAAAGAAAAATAATATTTTTATAGTATAGATGATTTGCTGTTAAATTTTGGTCCCCACAAGTAAGGTCTCATTGGTATCCAGTCACTATTTATGACTGGACTATGGTTGCCTTGCGGTACAGCAGCAGGGTTGGGCCACCATGAGAAAACTATTTGGTTTACAACACTAAAGTATTTATTTTCTGGCCTGTTATCTAGTTTGGCAATTGCTGATTTAAAATGTAACTTTTTTCTTGAAGATATACCAAGTTCACCATTTTCTGAATTGGTAATGCAAGGTACTTTAAAGTGAAAAGGACCAGCTGTTATCTGGTAGATGCAGAGAGATACATTAATCTCAGCAATCAGAATATCTAAGTTAGACTACACAAGGTACTCCAGAGTCTTAGAAGTATTGCTCATTTCATCCTCACAGCAATTCTATACGCTATTGTATGAGAGGATTGAAACCCAGATGCTGGGAAACAAGTTGAAGTCACAGCGTTAAAAGAAGGCTGCATGGCAATTTGCTTCCATTGACCACAGACTAGTACCACTTCATGGGCTGAGAACCTGGGAACCTTATTGTTTAAATAAGATTTAAATATAGGTAGGCTTATTCTATTACACGTTAACTATGGTTACTTGGTTAGTTTTTTATTTTTTACATTGTATGTGTGTGTCGGGGGAGGTGAGGGTGGATGTGTGTGCGTAGGGTGGGGCGGTGGGTATGGGTACATCAGAGCCATGACACATTTACAGAGGTC